GCGGTACACGCAGAGAGCCAATCGCACAACCAAAAAGACATGCGTCTTTTGGTGTTTGCATAGGAGGCCTTCCAGGTAAGCGGGGATGTTGCTCGCGGGGTTGTGACTGCCTCTACCCCTCTGCGGGCGGGACGACGTCATCGGCCGTCGCAACCTTCCACGTACCGCAGTGACCAGCCTCAACTCACATGTAAGCCACCAGCAAAGATAGTTTATAAGCAGTCCAGTGTCCTGCTCTTGCTGCCTGACTATTTAACTATTCATCACACTATCGATCCATCAAAGTACCAAAGACTCTTAAACTAAACCACCCAAGTACTCAAACATCAGTCAAAATGGCCGACAAGGTTAAGGAACTCGTCAACAACATCACCAAGGGTGACGTGAGTAGCATCTCTCCCTCATACCCACCCACAGCAGCGAAGCTGACATCTTACTTAGAACTCCGACAAGGAGAAGGAGTTCAGCACTCAGCCCATTAAGGAGGGTGGTGTCGACCCCAAATTTGCTGCTCACCAAGCGCACCCCGGCCCTGCCGTCCCCAAGGACTTCAACGCCCAAGAGGAGGGAACTAAGGAGGAGCGCCGAGCCAAGGCGGAGGCTTTGAACAAATAAACAGCACGACGATCAGGCAGCATCAAATGTGATGCATGGCCTTGTATGACCAGTTACGAATTGTAGACTATGGGAAACGGCGATGGAGACGGATCAACAAGCACGGAGGCTAGGGAATTGGTCGGTGGATAAAGTCATCTTAATACTGCCAATGAATTCATGAATCAAATCCCACATAACCTGACACTTTTGGTATGGCCTGGGCTCCCTTGGCCATCAAACATCGCGCTGTTGTAGACAATTTGAAACGTTGCTTGCATTGCCTTTCTAGTATATCCACCTGCAGTGTGGTCAGAACGGATCGGAGTGAGTAGGTATTCCACTCTGGAAATCTGTTGGTGATCGTCGCCATGCTTCCGTCGCCGTGTCAGCCCATGCCCGCTACCGGTGTCTTCGGGAAGCAGCGATGCTACCTTACGGCGTATGCTGCGGTTGCGCGTCCCACAATGACGACAGCCTTCCTCTGTATTCCACGTGGCGGTGCAAACGCAGTGTGGCTGGTGTCTGTGTTTAATACGCGGGAAGGACAATCCGACAGCGAAGACCGGGCCTGAGCAGGTAGTCAGTCGCCCGAGCAGCGCCCGGAGGAGGGAAACATCCCAGCCAAAGTCCACTGAAACGAACGACTCAGCCACCAGCCCGCCGTGGCCCAGGGCCGGTTACGAGTCCCGGCCAGCCAGCGCCCACTCGCCAACCTCCGCTGGGCTGCGTAAGGTACCTTGGGTACTGCGTAAGCCCAGTGTCTTTGGGCAGTCACTCTGTCCCGAAATGAGTCCAACAATCGTCTGCCATTCAGTCAGGTCAGGTCCCAGGTTTGCCGATTATCCCATTCGCAAACTGCACGCACGCACACCACTTCATCTCACATACAACCACCCGGACCTCATCCTCGCCATCACCCGGCACAACCTTCTCCTCCCTTCAGCCTTTCCGCAAGCCCAATTACATGGTATTCCAGGGTTCCCCCGTTGAGTGATGCGAGTCCACATTTCATGAAACGCCCCCGGACCCGGAAGCTCTGGCATCTTTGACCACAAGCTTATCACTCTCCCACGCAGCTTGCTTTTTGTTGGACGCAGAGTGACTGCCTCACATACCGCATTGCATAGCGAAGCATCGTCCCGACACTAGCTATACCTTACCTGCTGTGTACCATACAGTGTACCTTGCCTTGCTGCCTCCAACACCGACAAGCGACGGCACTTGGTTGACTTGTCTTGGGGTCCTTGTCGTCCTTGCAGGTATCACCTTACCTACTACTGAAAGCGATCATACTACGAAGCGCCATCCCGAAAGAGGAGGTGTCTGTTTGCCCAGCCTAATCACCAACTCCTAAGCGCCACTTTCCATCGCCTATACACGCGTACAACCCAAACCACCACGACCAAAGGTGGCTGTTGCCTCTGCTGCCGCGGCTCTTGCAAGCACACGACCCATACAACCACTCCACCCCGTCCCAATTCCAATTCCACCTTGATTCAACTACATACGAACAACGACACCTCACCCAACCGATCCCACCGAACATCCCCTCCCCCCTCTCTCCTCCGGCGACCCCTCCCAGTCTTCCCGCCGCCATCATGCCGTCAATTTTGAGCGACGATGACAAGGAGACGGTCAAGCGCTTCGTCCCCAAGCAGACCAACAAGATCCAAGCCGTAGCCGTTGCCAGGCTATACGTTGCTTACCCCAACCCCGCGAGATGGACAAACACGGGTATTCAGGGCGCCATCGTCCTGTCAAACGATCTCGTCGGCAATACGTACTGGCTCAAGATGGTGGACATTTCAGTGAGTGACTGCGCCCACGGCGCCACGTGCAATTTTGGCTGACATATTCAAAGTCTGGAAACCGCGGTGTCATCTGGGACCAGGAGATTTTCGACACGTGGAGCTACAATCAAGATCGCACCTATTTCCACAGCTTTGAGATTGAAGAATGCCTCGCCGGCCTCTCTTTCACCGACGAGAAGGAAGCCAAGCAATTCAAGAAGAAAATGGACGATAGAGAAAAGAACGCAAGCAGAGCTACGAGATCGACACCATTCGGAGGAGCCTCCCAGGCTGCCGCACATAAACATGGTCTACTTGGAGGTCTCTTTGGCGGCCGGCATGCAGCAGCGCCTACCCCTCCTGACTCCCCGCGATCGAACCAGCCACATGGCCGTATGCCTTCTCTGAATGGCGGTCATAAATCTTCAGAATTCGCTGTTCTTGATGCCTTCGACCCTCAATGGCGGGAGAATTTCGGCCAAGATCTCCGAGATAAGGGACTGACGGATGAGTTCATCAAGGAGAACCAAGAATTCATTGTCGAATTCCTGAAGGAGGAGCAAGAGAAACTAATGGCTGGCGCTCGGAGTCATGCTCCTCCTCCCCCTCCTCCGCCAGCACCACATACAAATGGCCTTGAACTTCGGAACGGAAGAGCGCCTCCTCCACCGCCGCCTCCAGGAGGAAGTCATTCAGATGGCCCACGTTTACCTCCGCCCCCGCCCGCACCTAGACGCGGCGCGGCACCTGCACCCCCGCCTGCTAGGAGATCTGGAAAAGCAGATACGCCTGCTGTCAATAGAGAACCGACACCCCCAAGCGAGCCTCCAGCGCCAGAAGCATCGAGGAGTCGATTCGCAGTACCGCCTCCCCTACCTGATGCCGGCAAACTCGCACATGCTTTGGGAGGTTCAGTCAATGCTATTCGTGGTGGGCCAGCAAACCCTGGGCCACCTCCTCCGCCGCGGCCACCCAAAACGCCAATGCAAGAGGAAGAAAGGCCTGCTGGACACAAATTTGGTGTACCGCCCGCATTTGCCGGGGCCAGGCAGGGCCCGCCACCTCCGAGTCGAGGACCCGTCCCACCGCCGCCGCCCCCACGTTCGGATGGCCCGCCACTCCCTCCGAAAGCTCCGGCATCAGAGGCACCGCCGTTACCACCCCCGTCTTCACGACCGGTGCCTCCACCCCCGGCGCTTGGCAGTCCGCCCCTGCCTCCTCCCCCACCACCGTTGCCATCATCGAGTGCTCCTCCGCCGCCGCCTCTGCCCACTTCGCCGCCACCTCTCCCAACATCGAATGCTCCTCCGCCGCCGCCATTGCCGTCGTCCAATGCCCCTCCGGCACCTCCTCTGCCTCCGTTAAACAATGCGCCGCCTGCGCCTCCTCCGCCGCCTCCCGGAGCAGGAGCACCTCCCCCACCGCCGCCACCTCCACCACCAGGAGGCCTGGGCGGACCTCCTCCACCACCCCCTATGCCCAACCGAGACTCTGGGTACTCCTCTGGCGTTCCTGTTCCTCAACCGGATTCTTCGCGCTCGGCCGTCTTGGGAGACATCCAGAAAGCTGGTGGCATCAGGGCCCTGAAGAAGGTGGACCGCAGTCAGATCCGCGACAGAAGCAGTGCCACAGTTGGTGGCGGTAGTGATAGTGGTCCTCACGGAAGCGGCTTGCCTCCAGCCGGTGTCGCACCTGGTGGTGGTGGTGGTGGTGACATGGCTAACGCTCTGGCCGCTGCCCTCCAGAAGAGAAAGGAGAAAGTTAGCAGAAGTGGTAAGTGAAAGCCAGCACGTCTTGATATTGTACCAATGCTAATACGTCACTAGATGATGAGAGAAGCGACAACGACGACTGGTAAGCGATGACCTGTTCGGGGTCGAGGGACGTGTATGAAGGACAGTCTTGGGGTCATTGGACCGGTACCGCAAGTTGTGGCCTAGGCTTCTTAGGCGGATGGAAGCAGTATTACATCGTATTCGATTCTTGGCTATCCAAAGCGACAGCTGCACAATTAGGGATCAGGCGGGCGGGTACGGTCTAAAAGCATCACAGTTCTTTGGTTGGTCAACCCCAAAGGTGCCAGGGAGATGCTCAGTATATCCGCATCTGGAGAACGGCACCTGGGTAGAAAAAGGACAATCTTACTTTCGAAGCAAGCCCGCTGACCGCATGTAAGAAATTGGAACTAAAACAAAATTCAAACGCGTTGCGCAGACTGCTCGTTCTGTAGACATATCACGTAGTAAGACAATTGGCAAGCGTGATATGATGAACATTTGGTAAGCGGCGCAAGCCACGGACCAAACTGGATTTAATTACTCAAGCGCAAGTAAAGAGGTAAGATCTATCGTTCTGATGATTTGACAAGCCATGACGTCTCTCCCACCATGGCCCGTCCAACGCACCACCCTTGACACCTTGACTGTCGCGGAACCCTACAGCGGATAACATGAGAATTAAACGACCGCGGGGTTTGAGAGAGAAGACAGCGTTCCCACCTCTCTCCATCTAGCGGTAGAGGACAGACGAATGATTTGAGAAGTGGGAAGGTTTCGGGGTTCTAGACACTCTGATATGTTGTTGCGAGTGTTGGAAGACAAGAGATGACATGGTTTAAATGTCATCAATGTCAACCTCCTTCTTGCCGGCGCCACCAGCGGCGCCCTCGTCCTCGCTCTCCTCCGAGTCGCGGTCGTCGTCGAACTCAAAGTTGCAGTCGCCGTCGCCGTCGGCGCCGTAGGTGTCCGTCTCGTTGATCTTGGCAGACTCGGGGAGCTCGCCGTAGGCCTTGAGGGAGCGGGCCTCGTCGGCGGTGTACTTGAGGATGACGTCGCCCTTGTCGTCCTGGTACTCGCGCAGGGAGAGGAGGATGATGTCGCCCTGGTTGATCCAGACCTTTTTGCGGAGCTTGCCGCGGATGTTGGCGAGGCGCTTGACGCCGTCGAAGCACTGGGCTTCGAGGCGGCCGTTGCCGAGCATCTTTACGACTTGGGCGTATTCTGTGGGAGAGAGAGGAGGAAAGTTAGCTGTGATGCGCTTTGGAGGTTTGGTTTGGTTTGGTTTGGTTTGTTCCGTAGCGATGGGAAGTGGCGGTGGGAACGCGTCTGTGGTTTTTTTCTTCTTCTTTTTTTTTTTCGGGTTGGGAATGGGTGGTGAACTAACCTTGGCCATCCTCCTTGAAGGTGAGCTCACGCTTCTCGTGGTCAGACTCGTTCTTTCCACGTCTGCGGTTCTTTCCTCCCTGTTTTGGTTGTTAGTCTTTTTGATCAACCATTTGCTTCCACCTCCATCGCCAGTGGCATCGTCAACGCCATCATCATCATCGCCAATGTGCGTCGTGTGTATGTGTCGAGCAATGGCAAGGAGGGGGCGGGGTTGTTGGCGGGGCGCGCGACTAAGCAGGGGGAGGGGTGGTTTTGTCGCTGAGAAGGAACTTGTCTTTTTTTTTTTCTTTTCGTCTCTTCCTCCTTCGCCTTGGGTACTTGGGGGCATGGAAATGGGGGGGGATAACGACTTACTTTTCCCTTATTCTTGGGCATCTTGACTACTCGTGAGAATTCCGGTTCTCAGCGGTATAGGTAGGATGTGTGAAGGGGGGGTGGGTTGGTTGGAAGGGGGGAGAGAGAGCGAGATGTTCGAGAGGAAGTGCGAAAGTGGGCGGTGGGCTTTATTGTGTGCGTTTGGAAAGCGCCCCCGTAACAAAAAAATGGTGGTGCTTTTTTGGGCTTTGGGCTCTGAGGTGTGGCTGTGGCTGGTTGCTTTTTTGTGCAGGTGCGTGTGCAGGGCAGTGAAGTGAGCTAATGGATGGAACAGGGGGTCCTGTCGCTGGGGAACTGGCGGCTACTGGTCTCTGTTCGGGTGTCTGCGGTGTGTGAGCCCAGGTGGGTTCCTTTCATATGGGAAGGGGCGAATGATGTTGAAACGGACTGGCTCGGTTTTTTTTTTCTCACTCTCTCCTGCAGTGTAGATGAGTCAAGTGGGGTGGCATCTTTACGCAGTATGTGAGTTGGTCACCGTCACCAAATGGAGAAAGGTGCGCGCTGTGGCTCGCATTCACTTGGGCGTCACTGAGGCGTGTGTGTGTCATCTACCAATCTCCATCAGTCCATTGAATTCGCATGAGCCACAGCCGACATGCCAATTGTGGCACCAACGATCCACTTCATTACGCAGTATAAGGTAGTCTAAGCTTTCCTCGACTTACCTAAGCCATTTTGGGAGAGCTTCGCCTGCATCACTTCTCCGACAGCCGTAGCTTGCCTGCAGCTTGCAGATCGCAAATTCGCGCCTCGTCGCCGTTTGAAATCTAGAGACCAGCCTCTATGAAATTGGCCTGACCTATCGACTCTATCATTCAATACCACCGGCGGAGCTTACTCTCGTATTATGAGTGCCCGAGGACCGCCCCCGGCGACGACCATGCGATGATGCCGATACGACTTCAACATGTCACCAGCACGATGCGAAGACTGCCTCTTGGTATACCCATAGCGACACAAGCCTCCTGGTTCTCTTCCTCCAACCCACGACTCCGCGTTTCCGCCATGAAGCAAAGATGGACAGATGAAAGGCGTCGCCAAGAAAGAGAAAGCAGGGATTATTGGGCATCAGAACGTAACAGAGAGCGCCAGGAGAAGTTGGAGAAGATCAAACGGAGGCTTCGTGGCGAAGACTCGAAAGCCTCCCAGGAAGACGCTTCGAAGCTCCCGTCAGTTCGAAAAACCAAGCCACCCCCGCATCCGGTCAACTTCAAGAACCTACCAGTGGAACATCACTTCAAAAGAATATTCCTCGACCTGGACATCGGGCTGGCCGCCTTGGACTACCGAATGGTCCATCTGCCCGGCGAACTGAAAAAGTTGTCTGAGCAGATAAAGATACAAATAACTCCACGGCATGTCATGAGAAATTGGGACAGAGAGTATTTCGTCGAGACGATGAACGAGCATCCCTACACGGTCCTGTACAGGCACAAGTACGAGCAGATGAAGGAGAACACGCCACTCTGGGTTTGGCTGTACGGGGTCACCCAGAACGGGGGTCCGGTCGTCGTGAATACTGCCCGGAGGACCATGAGGCGCGAGCTCCACGCCGCCCTAGAAGCCAGAGGCTACGATCCCGAGGGGCGTCTGCTCAGGCCCAAGAGGAACCGCACGGGGAAGGACACTTCCTTAGAGGGCAACCTGATAGGCACGATAGCGCTCACTGCCAGGCTCCCCGCCGACGTGGCGAAGAGGCTTTCCCGGGCCGATTTGCGGGCGGCGATGGACGTGGCCGTGGACCGCCTGATTGAACTCAAGGACGCCGAGCAGAACCCGGAGCGGTGGCAACGCGAGTACGACAGGAAACTGGAGGAGAGGGCACGCGAAGAGATTGAACGGGAGGAGGAAGCCAAACGTCGGAGAGAGGAGGCAGAATCAGAAACGAAGCGGCGAGAAGATGAGTGGCTTGAGAAGGAGTTTCAGAAGGAGTCGGTGTGGCGGGAGAGGAGACTGAAACAGGAGGAGGAGCGATCGCGAATCATTGAGGAGAAGAAACGCAGGCGGGAGGAGCGGGGGCTCAAGGTCGCCGAAGAGAAGCGCCGGAGAGAAGAAGAAAGGCCTCTGAATTCGGGCCAGCTCTGGGCGTGATGAGGAATCTTGGAGATGGCGGAGAGATGGATATGGTCCCATTATTGAGAGATGGCATGGGCAACCTTCATGATGACGGCTTCGGCTGTCGTCTGTGTAACATAATCCCTACAAATGATACCCCTAAGATAGAAACCATTATTTTTGTTTTTCTCCTTTACAGACAGGGAAGCATACGTCCATTGCCTATGTTACTGATATCTCGTGAGAAGCTGGCGGCGGTCTTGACACCACACAACACAACTTGGGAGACAAAGTGGACGTCAGAAACCCCAATGCAGTCTAAGCATATACGTCAGAAGTGACAACGGTCTACAAAACGTCCCATCATAATATCTAGCGAACAATAAGACGAAATCAATCAACCGTTATTAAAGACTTACATTTGGAATGAGAACTGAGGTGAAGCACGGGGCAGGTACGTACCCAGCCACCTCAACTCCTTACTGCCCCGTCCACGGTGTGAAGGGCAGCTGCAGAGTTGTTGGCGACGAATCACATCGCTAGCGCAGAGCTGCCAGCCGAGACGTCTGGAGCTGCCAACCTGGTAATTAACTGTGACTGGCGTTTGTACCTCTCTCGATCCAGCATATGTGTCTCGCATACACAAGCATCGCTGGCAACAATCTCCTGCTCACCCACCTGGCCACCTCCATACCGAACTCATCACGATAACCCGCCCTTGGAACCGAGACGAAAGGCCTACGGAATCGGCGACCGACCTTGCGCAATTGATCCCACCTTGCCCCCTTGGCCGGAGACGGGAAACACCAACAACCTTGCAATCACGTACCACGCTTCGAAAACTGGGACGAAGCCTCAACACCAGTAGACACAGTCCACGATGCTCGTCTCATTGACCGTCGGCAAGGTCGACGCCGGCGTCACGGTGCTTTTGACGCCGGATAAGCGTCTGGTACGTTATACCCAATGCACTCTGCAATTTTGGCGATGAACTGCGGGCTGTTTTCGAGGGAAGCTATATGGTCCAAAAGGCCCGGCGCCCTATCCCCCGCCCTACCCTCCATTTCCGCTCATCAATGTCATCGTCGCCTACTCACGAGACCCTGTACTAATTCCAAGCGCCCAGATCGAGTTCCCGTCTATCCTACTCCCTCCCAACATCTCCTCCGGCAGCATCGTCGACATCACCGTTGCCCGCAACCTAGGCTCAGAGGCCAAGACCGAACATGCCTTCCGCGAGCTCCAGGACCGCATCTACTCGTCCTTTGGCGCCAGCTCGCCCACGACACCCGTCCTGCGCTGCCGCAACGCAACCCAGACCTCTGTTGTCCTCGAATGGGACCCCATCGAGCTCGCCACTGCCGATATCCTCTCCCTCTCCCTCCACCGAAACGGCCAAAAGGCTGGCAACATTCCCCGGCCTCTGCAAATGCATAGCACAAAGATTAGCGGTCTTGCCGTCGACACAGACTACACCTTCCACCTCGTCCTGCGTACCACCGCCGGCACCCTCAGCTCCGAAAAGGTCACTGTGCGCACCCATAAGATGACGGACCTCAGCGGCATCACCATCACCACGGGCATCATGCCCCCTGCCACTAGAGAGGCGCTGTCCGCGGCGGTCGACCGCATCGGCGCCAAGATTGTCGACAGCGTCCGCATCGACACGACGCATTTTGTCACCACCGAGGGCCGCGGCCTGGCGTGGGAGAAGGCTGTCGAGACCAACATTCCCGTCGTGCGCCCCGAGTGGGTTGAGGCTTGCGAGAAGAACGGACGCATCCTGGGCGTGACGAAGTTCTACCTCGACGCACTCAGACCCGGACCCTCGAGCGACGAACTCCAGCAGACACCTCAGCCGCAGCAGACACCACCGACGCAGAAGGAGTTGCCGACACCCCCGGCCGCTAGCACGCCCGAGGGCAACGGCGACGCGGCGGCCGCCAAGTCGCCCGAAGCCGAGAACCCCCTCAGCAAGGCGGAGGAAGAGCCGGCTTCCGGGGACGGAGAGAAGGAGGCGGAGCAGAAGCGGATCGTGGACCAAGAGGAGCAAAAGGTGCGGCTGGAGGACAAGGACGAGCAGAACCTCGCGCACCGGCCAAAGGGGGAGTCGGACGACGACAGTGAGGACGGCAAGGGAGACGAGGACAATCCGACAAAGGAGGAGAAGCCGGGCGTCTCTCCTGACGGGGCATCTTTCCAGGATGTAGCCTTGTAAGGCGGGGGATCATGGTTGCGGTTGTGGTTGTGGGGTGAGGCGATGGGAGGTAATTCGGAGAATGTTCTTTCACAGCACGGAGTTACCCAGAGATGTTGTCGTGTCTCGTGTACAACTAGCCGTTTCTTCACGACTTTTATAGAATCAGTTATCATGGAATGATGACGATGCTAAAGCTGCCTGTGTCTCCTCTTTGAGATCTCGAATGATTTTCACTCCCATTTGAGGAGCTCCTTTTCTACTCATCTACGCCTAGACTCCAAATCCCTCCCTCTTTCATGCAAACATCGTTCATACATCCCGCCTTCTTTACGGCAAAATCTCCTTACCCGCCCAATCCCAAAACCTCCCCCTCCCCTCGATCCCAACCTCCTCCGTCAGCACCTTACACATCCTCTCCACCGCGTACTCGGGCTCAAACAGCTTCCCCTCGGGCACGGTATCCCAGAACCCTTGCGACAGCCCCGTCTTGACCGTCCCCGGGTGATACGCCACGGCCATGGCCCTCTCGCCGCTGCGCGCGGCCAGCCACAGGTCGAGCGATTTGGCGAGCGAGGTGACGCCGGCCTTGGAGGCGCGGTAGCTGTACCACCCGCCCTTGCGGTTATCCGCCGTGGAGCCCACGCGCGCGGACATGGCGGCCCAGACGGCGTGGGATGGGGGTAGGCCTCTCGCTTCGTCGTTTTCCGGTGAAGAAGAAGAAGAAGAAGAAGAAGAAGAAGAAGTG